AATATCTTTTATTTTTCCACTGTTCTCTGTTATAGGTGTGAATTCAGTTGGATTTGAACTGAGTTCTGTTAAACAGAAGTATAACATAACCAAGGTTGTTTGCAGCAGCGTGCAGGCTCTACGTTGTAGTAGGTGGAATGGATTAAATACACGTAATGTATTTAGAATACATGTATACATAGACATAGATCATTTTGGTTTCATTTATTCTTTTTTTACTGGATAATTAGGGAGTTCTCTGCACCATTTGTTTCAACGCCCAGCCCACTAAGGATGAAGCACTGCCATAGAGGTATGCAAAAGCAACACCATGCACTCACAGCCCTGAAGAGGCAGGAAGATCACGAATATTGTAAATGCAGAGCGTAAGGTCATTAAATGGATACTGGTTTTAGCTGAAACTGAAGAGATAGGGACTTGGATGACTAACCTTAGCAACTGTGCAAGCGACCCTAACTTCAGTAAAGTCAGAGGGCCTCCATTCCTTTATTCTTGGAATAAACATTGTCCTGACTCAGTATTTGGAAGACTACTTCATTCTCTAATACACTATCGAATTTCGTCACATTTTGTAACAAAAAAGGCAGGAATGAAAATAAGGATTTATTTCAGAATAAGTGAGTAGAAACATGGGTGCAAAATCACAATGCACGTTAAAAACCCCTCTGCACAGACAGGTGCAGATGATGGCACGTTTGCTCAAAACTTGTTCTAAGCTGATTCTGATCCTGAGCAACCAGGCAGAGCAAGCACGTTTATTAGCACTGTGTAGCCTTACCTTTATTGCTTAGATGGATGTTTGTAACCTGTCCTGGAACTCTCATGTACAGCATAGCGTACAACTCCTCGGAGGTGAATAAACTCATATTTAGTGTGTGGCAAGAGTGACCCACCCAGCCAAATAGTTATTCATTGGACATGTACTGTACTACACACTGGTTCTGTGCCCACCACATTCCCACTGCAGGCAAGCTCTAAGTATTGTATAGTTGTGTAGATGTCAGCGGTTTTATATCATATCACAAGAAAGCTATCAAGATAATTTGATCTTGATAGAGAGGGAGAGAACATAAAAGCTCAAGTACTGTTCATATAATCTGATTATCTTTTTCCTGTTTCACAGAACTGGCGTTTTTCTTATCCAGCTTGATCTATCTTCCAAGGTCCATGTGGTGTTACTGTGCCGGTGATATTGTCCCCCAATAAGTTTTATGTAAACAGAAGAGTTTATGGCTTGAGTTCATTTACCTTCTTCACAGGGCTGTGCATGTCTCTCTGGAACAGCGAGAGCCTCGTGCAAGACAGAGGCGTTCAGCGCTCAGCTGGCCTGAGGCGGTCTCACCGGTCACTCGCTCTGCAGCAGAAGAGCTGGGGCTGGACACTGGTTATCTTTCAGTATACACAGAGCCACATGGAGATGGCAAGAATCTTAACGAGGGACTTGCTCAGCCAGTTGTGCTAAGCAGCTGTAAGGATTCTCACAGCCTGTTAGTGAAGCAAGCGGAAAACTCCCTCTGTGACTGTTTGAAAGTAATAGGTTGCTCAGAGCTCTCGTCGTTTGCTTCTAAGGGCTTGTTTATTATAAGAATGTTTAAATTAATGTGCCATCCTCTGGACGCTGGGTTAATGCCTGGACTTAGGATTTCTTACTGGCTGTGTCACCAATTCACTATACTGTAAGCTCTGATAGGACACTTTTTCTCCGTGTTTCAGCTTTCTCATGTATGAAATAGGGTTGATGATACTTTCCTCTGAATGGTATTTTTGAATCTGTGTATGACTGAAATTACTAGGGGTTTTGCCTCTATTAATGGCATAGAGTTTACACTGTTGTAGCTTAACTGGTATCTATCTGCTTAGCTTTACCACAGCAATAAGAACTGAGGCTTCTACATATGTCCAACCACTTCATTGTTTTCCATGCTAATGCTGTTTTTCTTTATGTACATAGGGCCTAAGCATCTGGGTCCAGCTGATAAAGAAAGTTTCTTTTTCAGTTGTCTGCTCCTGCACAATTCGTCATTGAGTTCAGCAATCTTGGGGTTAAGCTGAAGGAGTTTTAATTAAAAAACTAAGTGTCAAATATGGTTGCGGGACAGTCAGAATCATTTTACAGACACTTTTAAATCAAAAGTGCAAAGGAAACACTGGCAGTGAAACAAGTTTCTCTGTTCCTTCTCTGAATCTTGTGTATTTGTAATTGATAGAGAAACCCCCAGTTCTGTACCTTTCTCCCACACCCCTGTGTTTTGAATACTAATCACAAGGCACGGAGAATGTTCACAGAGGGAAGGTATACGGCGCTCTTCTATTTCACGTATGGAGACATCCTTTTAATTGCATGCAGACAGCAGATGGTATGGCATTTGTGGCGTCATGAACTCCAGCACAATATAGTCAGCCACTGCACAATATGGTACAATTTTCAGCTGAGTAAATATGGGGAGAGTGAAGGGTTAGGGGTGGGAAGGCAGTAATTCCTAGGACATTCGTTCCATTTTTATTTTACAAATTGACCATGATTTTGTTATGCTTCACTCTTGTTCACTTCTGCATCTCTTCTAGAAAACTGCTTTCCTGCCAGGAACATACACCCAAACAAATAGTTTTAAAAGGATTGTCGTCAACTTCAAAAACCACATCTCCATTTGAAAGTTTTATGTTTTCTTTCATAAGAAGATGTAAGATTTTGAAGTTACTTTCTCTCAGACTGCAGAAGAGGAAATAGCTACCACCACCACCACCCTGAATTAATATAAATTCCCAACTAATAAACATGAGGTAAGATCTTTTCAAGTTCACAGGTACAATCTCTCACAAAACTCACTTGGAATTTTCTGAAGCTTTTTCTGGTCAGCAAATTCTTTTCCATTAGAAGTCCCCTTCTCCCCTGATTCAGACTTTTCACCCATCAGACAGTATGTTATTCTGGAATCCCTCTCAATTTTCCCCTGTAAGGAAAAGTTTTGAAACTGTAAAAATTTTCCTAAGACAGGAAATGTTTTCCTATTCAAACCTCATATGCCCTGTGTATTCTGTAATTGGTTTAGAGGCTGTATAACTTACAGACAGCAGAGGCTTTGCATAAAAGAAGGCAGCTTAGTAAGCAAAATAAAAAATTAATACAAATTAGAGAGGATTCTTTTCTTTGAGTTGCAACATACCCTGACAAGTAATATGCCATTAAATATATATATATGTAGCAAATATATTTAAGTTTAATAAAACCTTAACACCCCCCAACAGATACTAATTTAAGGAGTTACTGTGCACACTGGTTTGCTGTGACAAAACAGTTGGGTACAGGCTGTCTTATTTCTAGCTCCTCTTGAATTTAATGCTGGTATAATGTAATCTACATCCAGTCCCAAATCTGTGAGGCTACATCAAGACACAGCCAGGGTGTGACCATATGAGAGAGGACCCGCAGGAGGCAGGATTCACTAAGAGGCACCATTCTGTCTCAACTCAGGAGAACAGCTCGCAAACTACACTGCGCTCCCCAATATGCAGGACTTAGAGCACAGGCTGAGGGAGTATACAACTGCCTGTGTGAGCTCAAAGACAGTGTTATTGGTAATAAAACTGTTAGATGTAGCAATGCTCCTAATTTGTGTAGTTTTACAATAATGATGTACCATGATTTGTGATATTTAACATTTTACTGAAGTTGCATCCCATTACTGAAGTTTGTCTCATTCTCTGACAGTATGGATAAGTCTATTAATGAGACATACAGAAATGGTTACATAGAATACATTAATTTGAAAGTGTACCAAGGAGCGTAGTGGTGAAGTTTAGTAGACCTTTGTTTTCCATGTTTTTAATCACCCAGCCTATGTTCCTGTTCTTCTTCTGATCAGTTTCTTGACTAAATAGACATGCTCTTGCCCTAGCATGTGGGATTAAATTAATTGCGTTTAAGAAATGGAATCCACTTTGCATACAGCAAAACATGTTGAACACTGTTATATATTTCTCCAGACTTTTATAAAACCAGGGAAAAGTAGATTTTCAGTTCCTTCTCAAATTTATTACTTTAATAAAATAAAATAAAATTCTAATCTATGACACCATTTTCACATAAATCCTAGGCATGTTTTTGTTCAGATTAAAAATTGCTGGTCTGTATCCTCAGCCAGTGGAGCTATGCCAATACACAGCAGCTGGGAATTTCCTATCCTGCTATCTGCGTGCGGCAATGGATTCATTAGGCATAGGACATCTCCTGTATGCATTCTAAATTACCCAGCAGACTCCCTGACTTTTAACATGTGGTTATCTTACACAAATCAGAGCTCTGCTTTTCCAAAATAAGTATATTTTTTGTACTTTGTGCAAATATTTGCTAAGCAATACAAAGCACTATTTGTCTCTTGATATTAAATAAGGTATGGGAACGTGGTGCCGTGGAGTAATATAATATACTATACATCCAAGTAATGTAAAATAGTTCATCATTCCTTTTTCAGTGTGGAGATAAGGTAAGACATGTTCAGGTGCAGTAATTTACCCAGAATCTTGTTATGGCCTATATCCTACTGGAATTACTTAGGAATCTGTGCAGCTTGTTTCTTATTTTCATATTTTAACGAACATATGGTATGCTTCCAAATAGAGCAAGGCTGTGATCTCAGGACACTGCTTTGAAGCCATTTTCTCCGTTTCATTATAACTTATTGTACCATTATTCCATCCTGACTGCAACATCAGTGGAATCTTCAAAGTAAAAATATATCACTTTGTTTAAATATGCACTAAAACCAAAACCAAGCTTTTGTCCTTGATTTCTGCTGATCTCCAGATTATTGTCAAGGATGTATAATTGAATTATAACCTTGATTTTCATACAGGTCAATGGCATCCATGCTAGTGACTCACACAGATCATAAAAGTATATTTCCAAGGGGTGTGGGTATAGGTGGGCTGAACAGCTTGGGCTCACTTATAAAAACAAGGGCCTCAAGCCATCTGCACTTATCCATTCTTCTTTGTTCCAGCTGCTATTCTGCTCTACCAGCCACATCACCAGGGCAACATGGCATTCGCAGGCAAATACGAATTCGAAGGCGATGAGAACTACGATGACTTTGTGAAGAAGATTGGTAAGTATGTCTTGGGCTGTAAGTCTTAAAGGTTATAAATGAGTTAAAAATACTTCAAAAAAAAAAAAGGTTTTTTGAACTGAAATGTGCCGAGATCAGCAGGGGCTAAGACAGTAGGAGTGCTTTGCACTTCAGCAAGGAGATTCAGTTTTCATTCTTATAAGCACTGTCAGCCACAGGAAATAGTCGTGTTCTACAGAAGCAGTATTCCTTTTCAGTGGCACCAGAATAAAGGGCTGAGATGTGTGCAGTATAATGATCGTGAAGATCACTTTTTCTGTCCTTAGTATTCATCAGTGGGAGTATAAATTTAGTATGAAAATGCTCGTCAAAATCTTAGACAGGAACAGGTTTCTGTGAATGCTTTCAGAAGACTGTGCAAACCTGTTTCAGCTTACCCTGTAAAATCTCTTAGGGACACTATGATCTGTGTGCATAAGAAGTTCAGTGTTTGTGTTTGTTTATTTAAAAAGCAATAGTAAATAGACAGGTGCAGCTATATAGCAAAGGCACCAAGTTCATACACATTAAATTCCATGCATCTACATGTGTAGATTAAGTAGAAGGGACTATTTAGATATACTTTGTATCTATGCATTCATTCTGTGTACCATTTCTCCAGGAAAAGAATGCAAGACCAAAACTTATCATTTTAGCAAATGCATTGATGTACATATATCTTTCTTTATACCAGTAACTTAAACTCAGAGCTTTGATACTGCTGGGGAAAAAAAAAAAAAAGAAAGAAAAAAACCCAAACCAGATGCTCAGACAGCAATGTCTGAGAACAAGCATACCATTAGCACGCTTCAATTCAAATACAGCTGGTAGGCTATTAGATTTGATAAACTGCATGTTTCTATCGATTAAGGTCTCCCTGGTGACAAGATTGAAATGGGAAGGAATTGCAAAATAGTCACTGAGGTGGTGCAGAATGGAAATGACTTCACCTGGACACAGCATTTCCCAGGAGGCCGCACCACAACCAACACATTCACAATTGGCCAGGAAGCAGACATGGAGACAATGGGTGGTAAAAAGTTCAAGGTAAATTAATTTACCTCTTAAGTTCTATGCTGTCTCAGTTGTTTTTTAATTTAGGGTGAAAAATCCAATCTGTCAATTAATTTACCTCTTAAGTTCTATGCTGTCTCAGTTGTTTTTTAATTTAGGGTGAAAAATCCAATCTGTCTCATGAACATCCTCCTAAATTTTTTTTTTCCTCAGTTATAGTTTAATATAGGGTGAAAAATCCAATCTGTCTCAAGGACATCTTCCTTAATTTTTTTTTTCATCTGTCATAGCTTAGAAACATATAATTTTTTTCCCCCATTTCTTGATGCCTCTAGCAAAATATCTAAATCTGATTTTAAAGAGAGCTAGAGCTTCAGAACTGTATGTGCTGATAAAGAACAAGGGTAGAGTGTCAAGCATCTACTGGTGTCGCAGCTCAAGCAAAGATAATGCTCATTAAAACTCTAAAGAGCTGGTTGGCAGCTGTGTCATTGTCCAGCACCATACAGCAACTGCAGCACACTCTGAGGGGAGTGCTGTGGTCCCTAGCTCTGCCCATGCCTGGCAGCAGTGCTCACTTTTTGAAGTCACCTGTGCCTGAGCCTTAAACAAAAGACTGTGTAAAGTGAAGGGGGAGGAAATCTCTCTAGCCTCCTTCTTATTGGAAGTACAGAGCAACTTGCAACTTAAGCAGCCTCTAGCAAGGAGGAAGATTACACAATATTGATCTGCTCCTGTCTTGGACAAAATCTTGATACAAAGCCTGCTGTAAAATGGTTGCTTTACTTACCTTATTCATTTCTCATCTATTTAAAGGGATAAGACAGTTTGGGACAGCTAAACTCTGCATTTGTGAGGTGTCCAGAACCCTACAATAGATTACTGGATAAATAACTTTATACATATTGAAGAGGCAGGAAAACCAGCAACTGCATCAGGGAGCTGTGACAAACTGAGAATGGCAATAGCATTGCATGATTTCCAGAATGCTTTTTTAGTCATACCTTTTGATTAGGAGAGAAAAAAGCCACGTCTTTGGCTTTGAGAAATCTTTATGAAACCTAACAGATAGAATAAGACACAATTCTAGTTGGTCAATTTATTGCAAACTTGACAATTTTGAAATACTACAAATTCCATTCTCTTCTTTTTGGCCCTGGGCACTTCAGCAGTCCAAAGCCTATTAAGTAGCCAAAGCTGGAGGCAGAGTAAATGACTCTCAGCAGAGAAACCACTGCCTTTTAGTACAGTGTCACTAAGCAGTACATAAACTAGTAAGATGGTTTCCTTGTGGCTGGTAAAAAACATCCATTCATCTCTTCATCTTGCAAATTACTTTTCTCTCTCCTGTAAGTATGACGGGCTTGTCTGTCTTTATTACTAAAAGCATAGGCAAGACTGACTAGTTATACAGACAAGACTGATTTTGTGATGGAAGTACATACCTAGTTTTGGTGGTCAGCTGAGCTGCTGTAGTATTTGTGATCTTCATAGTAGCATCCTGGCATACTTCTTCCATACAGGAGCAGCTCTTACAGCTGTCGGCACATAGTATAGTATAAAGGTGTGACCGCAGACTGTGCGGTCATGTTCGCCTATATGTAAATGAGCAAGATGAATTCTAGTGTAGTTAAGAGGTATGAAACTCGGGATCTAGGGTAAAGATTCACATCGCTTGTCCACAGTCACTTTTGTGCTGCTTGCAGGCAGGTTATTAGCATCCCAGAATGCTACTTCAAAATTAAGTTATACAATCATGCCTTTTACTTCACTGTCAAAACAAGAGAACTACATAAAACATTGAAGACTGAGTGAGAAGCATAGTCTGTAGTCAGATCATTTTTAGAGCTATGAAGGAATATTGTCCAATTTCTTGTGTAGATATGGAACTTGCACGTATTGTTAGATGAACATTTTTCTATTTAAATTGTGAACGTTTAAGAACTAAAGCAGAAGGATTTTAATCTTGTTCATGAAGCTGCATGTGTAATACACAACTTCCACTTTTTTAAAAGTAAAAACTTTAAGGATCAGGTGTACAGATGTTTACAGTGTATGTGATAATATAAAAGCCATCAACCCCAGGGAACAGTAAACCTTTCTCTGTTACTCATTAAACCTTAATCTCTTACAGGCAACTGTTAAAATGGAAGATGGCAAAATAGTAGCTGAATTTCCCAACTATCGTCATACTGCAGAGATTTGTGGAGGAAAGCTAGTAGAGGTGAGTTCTCATATATCCAGATTAGTTTATTTCAAAAAAAAAAAAAAACCAACAAAAAAACACCAAAAACAAACAAACAAAAACAACCAAGAAAAAACCAAAACCAAACCTCCAGGAGAACAGGCTTAAAATTTTGAGTTTAGAAAAAATCTTTATCTAAAATAAAGTAAAACTATTAAATAACTTTCTCCTTCACTCTCGATAATCTTCTACAATTTTGTGCGGGTTTAATCCAAAAATTCAATGAACAAACTTTTCGTCATATATTTTTGATAAATTTGAAATGGAGATCTTGCATCTTAGGCACAGACACACAGTTTTATAGCTGTAAGACTGGCATGTTCAGACCGAAATACTCCCAACTTGCCATGTCTTTGACTGTATTCCCTGTGCCTATGCCTCAAGAATAGAAAATAATATAAAACTTTTTACCTACTACTTACATGTTTCTATAAAGTTATTGTTTCATTCTTACAAAACTATCTAGCTGCAAGTCCTCACAGAATTTCTGTAGAACCCTATTTTCCTAGTCTTACCAAAGGGAAAACAACAAAAAAACAACAACAAAAACCCCACACCAAACACGAGAGGTTGGATTTCAAGTCGTATCCTATTTTATCACCAAAATGGCAACATAGCTTTGGAAGATTACTGAAACTACAACACTTACAGTAAAACTTGTAAAACAAATAGGACTGTCAAACATCATGATTTCTGAGCCCCAAAAATCTTCCTGAATTGACTTATGTCTGTGCCAGTTACATATGTCTGAGTGCATCTTCAACAAAGACTAACCAGAAGTTAGTTAGTCTGTGAATCAAGAAAGGACACTCACCCTCCCTGAAAGTAATACTGTCAATCATTTATTGCTTTTGGAGAACAATTACCTCACTTGTCTAAAACCCTGATATGGTGGAGTTGGTAAAGCCATGTCTAACACAGGATACACTTAAGTTATTCCTAAACCCCTGTTTAGAAGTTGTGCTTGTTGTGCAAGAATATTTTTGTGCTGTGTATTTCAGAGTTGACAAGGACATTCAGCTTATTTTCTAGATACGTCTTCTACCAAAGGGTAAATGTTGCTTCAGTAAAGGACAGGTTCTGTAAGCCAGTCAGCAGGTCTTCTCATTTGTGACACTGAAGCTCTAATTACACTGTCCAACCAAATTTTTGGTTTATTCTTTATTCCAGATTTCTACTGCTTCTGGTGTAGTCTACAGAAGGACCAGCAAAAGGATTGCTTAAGGCAGTAAACCCAGTCTCTTCCAGTGTACTGAAAAACAAACAACGATACAAATAAATAGAGTGCTGATTGTCTTTCCCTCTCTCTTTCTTTGTATTACAAACGTGAAGAATTGTTTTTGAGTAGTTATCCCCAACGTTAATGCTTACCCCATTCTTAAAGATCTGACAAATACTCAAAAAAATCAGAATGCAAAAATCAGAAGATGCAACAAAGCACTAAATGATGCTGCTCCAGTCTAAGTATTTCAGGATATGATACACGCTTGGCAGATTCAAATGTTGTCTACCACCTACTTAATAGAAGCTCTGTTCAGCTGTTGTCTAGAGAATAGGACAATACTCTGCCCAGATCATACATCAAAATGCAAGACCTGATGAAAGTCTTTTGCCCTGTTGCTGGTTGGAGGGCAGAAATTTAGGACCTTCAAAACAAGGGAAAGTCAGTTTATCACTTGTGAAAAGATATGCTTCCATACTGCTATCATGGTTTTCTCATTCTCCTCTTGACCCAAATTCTTAGAGGACATTTAAGGTTTTACAGAGAGACTCCTGCAGGAAAACTTGGAGTGTCTTATTTCCTCAGTGCAATCCTGTTATTTACATAGAATGCATGTGAAAACCTGTTTTCTCGAACACAGTAGGAATTAAATATAACACAGTTTTTGGATTCACTGTTCCAAATCACTTCCGACCAATACCCAGTCCACAAAGCTTTTCCCTTTTTAGATTCCTTTTTTCAGCTGCCTTGCCTTCTTGATCCACCTAGCTGCTTGCCCTCACAATCTTATCAGTAATTAGTCAGGCCATGTGTCTTGTGTACACAAAAGTTTGTTTTCTGATAGGCCTATGTACCTGACTGATAATCCCAATCATTTCGGGTATCTTGCATTAAAAAAAAAAAGGCTTTTAATTACTCTTTTTTCCTCAATAGAGATTGCTAAGTTTTCCAGCTGCAACAAGGGTTCATCTAGCCTCCATCAGTTTACTCGAAACAGGCTGCACATGTCTTATGACCAGGTATTGCTCAATATATTACTTACCCTGTCTCTGAGGCAAAGCATAATGCTGAACTTTAGAGAAACACGAGTCAAATCTGAAACCTGTTCAATCCTGAGACATTCTTTTGGTACTTGCAGCACACAGATCTACCAGTTTAACAGAATTTTGTTGAAATTCAGCCTCTTGAGTTATATGAGGATATACTGAGAAGTAATAAAGGATGTCTTCAGGCTTACTCCTCATTTCAGTTCAAGGCACCTGGTACATTCCTCTGCAAATAATAATGTGCCATCTTAAAACATTTGGATTTAGAATGTGCCCATCACATTCAACGTTTAACCAACTACACAGAGTGACCTGTAGAGTTAGGCACAAGTAAACACTGGGCAAGCGTTACGTGAAACTAAAGCTCATACTAGAACTAAGCCACTCACACCCACAAGAACCTGCTCTGAAGATGATGCTGATACCTGCTGATTCCCTGCTTTGAACACAAAATGGAACCAGCCACCACCAATTCCAGTTCTAAAAGCAACTACTTTTAGTGCTGTGCAACTGGCACGTTTTGTGTTCGCATTCTGCAGGTGATCAAGGAACTCCCCATTATACAGACAACAAGGCTTTGAAAGGAAGGGTGGAATTTTTATCGAGGCTCTCTAGAAAGCACGTAAGGGGTACTTTCACATAGGAAAAAAGCACTGCTGCCTTTTCAACTGGAGGACATTCTTTAGGCTTGTCTTGAAATTGCAGTATAGAGAGCAAAATAAACAACCCTTAAAAAAAAGAAAAAAATTGTGCCAAGTTATCACTAAGAATCCATCAGTGTTTGGCCCACATTTGCTAGTATAGCATTAAGCTAAATTTTACAAGCAACATCTGTACAAGTTACTGACAAGTTGATTATACTGATAAGAGCATTGTATCAACTTTAGATTGTTTGCTACAGTGTGTAAAACTTACTAAAAAAAAAGGATCAAACAGTGGCTTTAACAACTTTGCAAATACCAAGTTGCAGCTTTCTTAGAAATAGGGAGATGGTAGTAGTTTCCCTTTCCTATTTAAAAAAGCAGCAAGCTGCAGCTGTAAGATTTTTTTTTTTTTTTTTTAAGTAAGTTCATTTTAACCTTTGATGGCTGATCAACATTAGCAGACTTTTTTCCACATGTATCCCTGCTGCAGCTCTTGTCAGGACTCACTACTACATTTTTTAAATTTTAATGTCAGCTTTCTCATTTGTTTGGTTACATCTGCAACGTCCTCCCAAGTAAGGGGGTAACTAGTGCCATACCCCATCATTTTGTATTCCTAACCATGTTTCACTGCATTTGCCTTTGCAGCAGCCTTTCTTACTTCAAAGTCTGACAAGGAAGTATGAGTTAATCAGCATGTAAAAATTCTGATCTATGACTATGATGCAACTGACAGCAAACAGCACAAGCACAGGGCGGGAAGTTTTGCACCCATTTCTTTAAAAATTAACTCAGCTTTGTATGCACCTCTGCAGCTCCCTCCAAAAGTAATTGTGGCAAAAAGTATTCAGAAAAGAAAAAAAATTACAGTCACATGAAATAGTATTTACCTGGAAATTAAATGCGTGGAATTGCCACCAACATTTAAAGCATTCTGGAGAGAACTGTCAATCTAAGCGGTATTAAGCCAACACAAACTCTCATAAATCTTTTCCCTTTCAGTCTCTCCTGTTGGATTTAATCTGCCCCAACTCCACCCATGATAACAACGGCACTAACAGAACGTAGAACTCAATGGACAATTCCTGCTTAGAAGATACGGTCACCAGAAGAAAGATTGAACACGCAACCGCGTTCTCCTATTCAGCCTTTCAATCTCCTCAGGTAAGATGGCACCCCCAAGGCACACTGGCCACATAAGCTGGAACAATCCATTCTTATATTATGTCCCTACCTTGTCTCTGCACATTTTCTGCCTGTTTCTTCAGCCATCTCCTCATCCCACTTTGTACTTCCTTATATACATCAACACTTTATTGGAATAGGACCTGATTTTTTTGTGCAGTGACCAAATTCCTGATCTGCCTAATCCTTCACAATTTATTATTTGGCAAGGCCTTTCCATCACATTTGTCCTACCACTCTTCTGTTCTGTAAAACATTACGAGTGCTCAGATCAAGTATTTTTAAGGTATAGGCATATATTCTTTGTTAGCTCTTAAAAGCTAAGGAGAAACCACTAAAAAAACAAAGTGTACTTTAGCTGCGTGCTTGTTTATTGGAAACTTTCATTGGGAACTTAGCAAGTATTTTCACAATTAAGCATGATGGCAGTCCAAAGTATCACGCTGCACATGACAAATTATAAGGGTGATAAAAACCAAACAATACTGCCACATAAATGTTATCCTTTACATCTGTCGAATGACAAAAAAATACACTAAAGTCTTCTGAAAATAAAGTTTAAATACAAAGCCAACAGAATAAAAGATGAACTAAGTTCTCTAAACTTCTAGACTAATTTCTGAAGAGTAGTCTCTTCATTTACAGTTTGCATTAAAAAAAAAAACAAAACCAAGAAGATTCCTCTAGCCTGCTGAATGAAAGAAATTATTAACTTGATACCCAAAGTTGCATTCTTGGAAGACAGTTACACAAACACACATTAGCATGTGGGCAAATTTTTCCCCTCCACCCTAAAACACCCTTAAAAACAATTCTCTAAAAATATAATTTAAAACAGCACTGTGACATGACTTGAAAAAATTGCCCCAAGTCAGTAAAAGCATATTGCACATTCCTTGTATTGCTGTCCTGAGAACCTTCAGAGAAAAGACAAACCAAGAGTACTGCCTTCAAAGAAATTTACAAGAGTGGTTGCATATATCAAAACTAAAAGTTTCACGTTTGCAGAAGTCCAATTCTTGTAAATATCTACATTAACATAAAAAAGCCTATACAGTTTTTTGAACCATCGTCTCTGGTTTCAGTTGAAAAAGAAACCTTTGGATATGTGGCAGTAGGTGTGTCTCTCATTGCAGAGAGGCAACAGGATCTTCAATCTACCAGCTACATTCTCCAAGAGAATGCCAAGATGGTATTTAAAAAACTAAGTCAGCATTGTCTAGCACTGCAATTAAACTCTAATTTCACAGTAAAGTTAACCAGTTCCCTATCTTTGCCCCCATTAACACCAGGTTCCTCTGCCCTGAGCCTGAACTACTGCCACAAGTCATTGAGCCCAAAAGATGAAATACCGTAAGGCAGTGAACCTTTCAAGAGTTTTTCCAAAAGGATTTCTTCAAGTAACATTAAATCCCTGATAAAACTCACAAACAATTTTACTGACAATCTCCAGTCACAACAGCAGCAGCATGTTAAAGATGTAAGAGATTATTTAAGGTTTTGGTTTTGTTTCTAAACTACTTGAAGGCAGAGTGATGTTCCGTTCAGCAGCACCACATTTAGATTCCAAGAGAATTTTAAGTCAAAAATTATTTGATAGTCTTCTGGCCTGTTTTTCTTTTTTTCCTTTTATTCTAAAGTCTTACTCCTGAACTATCACTCCTGCTCTAAGAAAGTGGAAAGCGTTCCACACAGATTTCTGCATAAATGAAGTTCACATTTAATGATACCAATTTCAGTATATTTTAGTAGAAACTTCCAGTAGTATAAGCTGCCACTGTTCAAGCGACATGTCACTGGGAGAGAAGGAGAGCACTCCATGTTTTCCAACATCCTCTAGGTACATCGCTACTTGGCCAGAAATTCAACAAATGCTCCAGCCTGAAATAACTCTTCAACACAAGCATTCAGCCAACTCTGACAAGCCACTAACTGGAGACTAGAAGGAAGTGATCTCCACAGGGTTTCTACACAGATGCCTCTCAAAGTGACATTGAGTGAGGTATATTAATGAGTTTCTATTTCTCCCTCTCATTAAGAGCCAAAGGTACAACTCTTGACAGAAAGGCACCCAGGTTCCAGTAATCAGTGGATCCAGATCAACGTCCTCTGAATGAACGAGTCATAAGGATTCTATTCAGTCATGGTTTTCATTCAGATACACATCTTGTATCACACACAGGGTCTCTTCTTCAGCTTCTATTCATATCACCTTTTTCTTCCATCAGTATTTATCCATCAAAACACCCAGCTGCATATGAATGATGACCACTGAAGTAACTACTGCCATAAGCTGTGGAAATGCAGTGCCTGGGCTCTGTTCCTAAGGCCACCTGCACAGCAATGGGCATTTGGATGGGCAGAGTCTGGGCAGATGGCCGAAGGCCGGCCTGAAGCGCTGCATAGGAGTGCAGCGAGCTGTCAGCACTCCCAGCAAGCAGACCGCTGGGCCTGTGGGCCTGTAAGGAGTCACGATAAGCAGAGCACAAATCTTGCACTGGCGACTGGAACTGGGAAAGCGTAGCTGAATGCTGGGCTAGAGGGTGATAACTAGATTGCTGGAAGAGAACTGGAGTAGTGGCTTGATGGCTCAGATGCCCCACTGCTTTCTGTTCTTGATGTTGCATTGTTACTTGCTTTTTTGTGTCACTGGTTTCTTTGATGTCTCTCTCATAATATCTGAAACAAAGTATAAGTAAGATTTATCAAAGAGAGACGTTCTGGGAGCTTGCAGATATCCCAAAGTTTTCACTAGTCAGACTACATCATCAGCTCTTTGGCCCTAGCTGTATAAGGTAATCCTCAGTTGTTTTCACAATTAATTTCTGATTATCCTGCTGCAATCTTCACACACTAACAACAGGTTTATGGATCATTTTGCATCACAAGTATGTTTTTACTGATGGACTGGTTATCTTGAATCCTTAAGTCCACAACACAAAAGACATTTTAAAATAGTCTGTGTAAGTATTTGCAGACTGTTAAAGTGCATAGCTATAAGGGAAAAAGGGAAATTTTGTTATATATTAGGAAGAAACATTTTCACACTTTTGATTATCATGAGAACGATGAAGCACTGGAACAAGTTGCCCAGAGCCGTTTGGAAGTCTCCGTCCTTGGAGACAGTCAAAGCCTGACTAGGCAACACCCTAAGCAGTCTGATTTAACTTCAGTTGGCCCTGCTTTAAGTAGGAATTCAGAAGTTACCTCTAAGGTCCACCATCACTCTCAACCTAAATCAGTCTATTAAACTTTTTTTATTTTCTGTTAAGACTGTATGTGCTTACATACCAGACCAGTATTGATGCATTGCAATCATGTCCTTTACTGGAGAAAAACAAAGAATAGTTCTGAAATGTCTCCCTACTGTATTCTTGATGTTAGAGATACACCAGTGTCTCTCTGCAGCAAGTATATTGCAGATAACGAGAAAACAAGGGGAAAAAAGCTTTCATCAACCATCTGTAAAAGCTTCCATCCAATCACATAGACAACCAGTACAAGAAAACATAATGAACACTAAATTGTGCACTCCATTCCACATTGTTCCACATTCCATATTGTTAAAATACAGTATTTAGTAAAGTGACCTGATTTTTCCTTTTTATTCCTCTCCCCAAACTGAAGATGGAGATTACCAGTGTAATACTGTAGTCTTAATTATAGCTAAACAATTACTTAAAAAAAAAAAAGAAAAGAGTATCAACATCTTCCTAAAAACACAAGCAGGTTACATTCTTTCTGATCTTACATGAGCATCATTTCAATGCATTGGGCAAGATGTTCCCAGGAATAACGTGTTAGCAATTCAAGCTGTGTTGTCCAGGCAGGAGAAATCTGCACACAGATACGCGAGGCACACACACAGGCTGCAGCAATCAGAGATGGACGAAAATGGAGGAAAGTGTGATCTACAAAAGAAAAACAAGCAAGGATTATACTCTTACTAATCACTGCAGTGAGCCTATTATGTGTATACATGGCAAAACGGGACAAAATTAAATCCTCAACTTTGTTCCACGCATCTCAGAGTATTAACTCATGACCAGAAAAAGTCTCAAAAGACTGGATGAAGCTTTCCTGAAGATCTCTGTACTACTTGCTTGTAACTACTATCAAGGCTTCACTATAGCTTCTTTCATTTCAGAAAAAGCCATGAAATAGACTACGCAGAAATTTGTAGACTGGTCTCAGCTGAACCAAAGTTAGGTATTGACAATCACACACATTTACATTAGTGCTGAAACCAGCTTATGAGGATGCTGCAGTTCATTGCCTCTCCCACGGGCAGATATCGGAAGCGATGCTGCAAACAAAAATCACTAAAGGTGCCGTCATTCTAAATATGTCATGTCCTGCAGCACAGGGCCCTCTAAAAAATATCATTTAAAGAGATTCATACATTGAACATAATACCATGTCTGCAGGTGACAGAAGTTCATACTCTGTGGCAGATCAAACATTAGATCCCATTTCTGAGTCTCTCCAATTAGCGTTCTAAGCCGAAGAAAAACAACTGATCTCATCTAGAGATTTCTGAAAAGAGACAAGAGGCTTGCACAAGGAAAGGACACCGTACCATTTGCCATAACCGCAAAGAGAAACCATTCTGCACAGGTAATTTTGTGCAATCCATATTATGACAAGTTTTAAAGCCCTTCTCTCTTTCAGATTTTTGCCTTTCGCCAAATGAAAGATCGTTCTAGCATAAAACTAAGCCTCTTACCTTGCACTGAGAAATCAAGGAAATAATACACGTATTTCTCCAGAAAAGCTTTGATTTTGGCCAGTGAGGTGATCGGCCAGCCATTGTGAAGGTCATTCTCGCCAATGGACGCATAGAGGTAGTAGTCAATGTAGTGTGCTGGTGTTGGTAGACAGAGGTTCCAGTTGAAGTTTTCCAAAAGCAGCATTTCCATTCTAAGCAAGTCTTTCTTGTTCAATACCACATTCACATTGCACATGTAGGCCAGGTTATTTAAGTGCTCCAACTTTGGAACTTTATCTTCTTTTTCTTCAAATTTACCTGCCAGCAGTGATGGTTTTCAAATAAGATTTATCATTACGACTGAGTGTCCAAAAGCCAACAAAGAACACTCCCAAACCCAGAAAGTCCAATGATAAAAGGTGCTTTTTAAAGAAGGATGGGAAAGTACAGTGACACAAGTAGGAAAGAAGCCAACAGACTGGTCAACATATTCCTATATCCTTTTTATGGTTTTGTTTGTTTGTTTTTAATTGTTTGTATAGTATTGATGCCAAAACCAAGATTATAAACCCATTAGGATTACAGATAGATTTTCTGACAATAACTGGAAACGGTTTGCTGAAGGGCATTCAGTCAAGTGTGAAGAAAGCAAGCAGTATGGGGAAAATATGGCAAAGAAAGATCTCATATTGAGAGGAAAAAAAGCTCCTTTGGATATGGAAGCTAAATGCACATGCTACAAAAAGGAAGACTTTAAAAACCCTCGGGCAACACCACCTTTGCCCTTGCTGCTTCAGAATTTCTTTGTTCCTTATGGTCTTGGAGGGCCTCATTAGCTAAGGTCACTGAAAGGCCAGGAGAAGTACACTGTAACCAAGTGATTAACATAAATAATTCCTATGGGGTTAGGAGAGAGTATACATTTTCAAAGTCAAGATAGCTGAGCAAAGCTGCACCTTTTTCTAAACCGTATTTACCAGCCTACTGAAACAGCAGTAGTCTCCAGATGACTCAGTTGTCACCACTGGCTACAAAGTGCTGTCATTTTGTACAGAAAAACAGGATCTCACTCTGTTCACCCTTCTTTCAGAAAAAGCATCCAATATCAGATTTGAGTCCCAGCATTAGATCTATCAGTAATAAAGCAACAATGTTACTTTGCTGCAAACTTAAGAAAACAATTAAGTCTTCTTAAATTCACACTGTTGGTCTACCAAGCCAAAAATTACATGCTAGCTACTCCTTGTTCAAGAGCTAGCAACAAACAATCACCAGTAACAGGTTTCCAGTACAGCTTAAACATCCCTGCTGCAAAATCCAAACCCATAGCTACTTAAAAGTACTCTGTAGTTATTTTTCCTCTTTGTTCTTGGGGTCATATATGCCACAATTGATTCTTGGTTCAGTTATCTCTGTAAGAGTCCTCCTTTACCAACACAGACCAATTGACAAGATATTAATTAGCATGTCACATGGCCTCGAGTATTCTCATCAAATCTAAAAACAATTGAGTATTGCACTAGAAAATTATTTTAAAAGGAAGTAAGATCTTGCTATCCATTTGGGATAGCAATTCCATCCAAAGTGTCTCCAGTGTATTAAAAACCTGACAATTTTCTGTACTATTAGCAGCTTAAGTGTCTTTTTAACACATTTAAACATGAATTTTCCATCTTTGAGCCTGTGCAGGTTTCATGGATATGAAATGCATTAAAAGTGTAATATAGCAGCCACCCCACCATAAAAGAGCATAACAATAACAATGAAAAAAAAATTCATCCATCACAAAGTAGAACAGGAAAGGATTGATTGTGGGCACGCTGTCAGTGAAAAAGCCCTTAAAATTCAGGAGTCTATATACACATTCATGAATCTCCCTGTCACCTGAGTTTACAACTGTTTAAGAAAAATGAAGTTTGAGAGAAAAGTTAACCCTTTGTTTTTTCCCCACAAGGTGCTATCACAGCCTGATACAGAAGTTTAAGGAGTACGCTAGCAAAGTAGGAGAAACCACTGCATGCCCAGGAAACTAAGGACAAGATCTGTAACTCTGGCTTCCGTAAGTTCTAGTTCCTTCTTTCTTCCCACTCAACCTTGGAAATTTCAAAAGGCCAGACTATAGTCTGGAGAGCAGACTATCAGCACAGTAGTGTTGGGAAGGTATCGTACCAACATAGGGCAAAGCTATCTGACTTGATCAAGGTAATTTTTCTTTTAAAGTTAAAAATAATTGACAACAGCTAAATTTAGTGATTTAGATTACTAGTTAATTTATTATTTCCCCCCTTCTGCTTTTCAACACCCTAGTTCCTAGCTTTAATGTCAGATAACAGTGGCCACTGCAGCAGATAGGAGACACCGAGTATAAACATAGCTAGCTAAGTTGAAGAAAGGCTCCAAAACTGAGTTGAGAACGGGGAGAGAGAAACCAACTCAGAAGTTTTGCTTCAAATAAACTGTAAAATTTGAATATGAGCTACTTTCCAAAGCAACATACAAGCAACTCGATCACATGTTCTTACCCAATTCCATCTTGACCTAAACACTTTGCTTCCAAGTTTACCAATCACTTCCCACCTATTTTTAAATTGAAATCTGGAGAAGACAGCAAAAGTGAGTTCATTCCATCAGACCAAAGAGATCAGAGGCAAGTTGGAAAAGAACAATTGTAAGATGTTTTTGAAAAGCAGTGTGTCCTTTTCCATTTCCCTAATTTAAAGATATCGGAATATACTATTCCTATTTTTGTTCCTTCAGTTACACCAGAAACTGAGATTCTATGCACAGCATATTTATGCTGAGACAACCAGGACCTGCAACACAATTACTGCAAGAATATTAAAGGCTGAGACAAGACAGTTGCAAGTCTAGTATTGACCAAACAAATAACACTCACTGATTTAATCAACATCATGCTTTGGAAAGAAAAACAAAGCTGTTTAAGCTACATTATCACCTGGAGCCTGTAGTTTGAAGTTCATGAGAATTGTGTACGAGTCATTTGCATGCTTTTGAAATGCCATTGTAGACACCTCAAATTAAAAGTTTGTTGTTGTGTTCTGAGCTCCTGTTACTGATAAAACCATTTAGTTGTCACAATTGCCCTCAGAAATAGTTTTGTTTTGAGGTAACAGAATCATAAACCTTTAAAGGAATGCATAATTTAAGAAGTATCTGGATGTTGCAAATTTTTATACGAGGAGGGCTACTGAGGTCAATAGGATGAATGAAATAAGATGAACATGTAATGCAGGTTTACATTTGTGAGCAACTTTTTTGTAAAATCTAAATAGATGGGGGCAGCATGGTACACTTTAAGAGTGTGTAGTATTACTGTAATTAGTGATGCAAAGATTTTCCAAGTTACTTTAGATCATGTTCTGTCCCAATCCGAATTCTACAATCATATGCTCCACCAGAAAAAAAAAGTGAGTGCTTTTTATGTTACACATTCACACTTTCGTTTTGATGAATGAAAGCCAGAGTAAGTCCTGTTGTCAAGGCGAACAGGCTTAAGTTATAAAGAGTACGTTTCATCAGTACATTTGTCACGTTATGAAAACAGCCTATCAGTCCATGCCAGCTTTTCACTAGGAAAAACTAAAGGTCTCGGAGGAGCATCACTGCTATCAACTGTACCCTGAAGAACTGATTCACCCACTGCAGGAGGCAAGAGTCACTAGGTACACCTAGCTACCCAGCATGCAGCTCAGGCCGATTACCGGCGGTTGGGTAGATGATCTTCCTGGGGTTTTGCATGGGTAGCAAAACAAAAGCAGGACATGCAGGCAATTTGTTTTATTACGTTGTCGGAGTCCTTGAGAAGACCAAGGAACAAAAAGGACTGCCAATTTAAAGAGTCATTAAAGTACTTTTTGTCCCATAAGCAATTAAAATCAATCCAAAAGAAGGACAAACCGGTCAAGCCCATCTAGCCCAACATAAAGAACAGACCTATGTCTGCTTGCACAGCTGAAGGACTATGTTTCTTTGTTCCTGCGTTGTTCCAGAAGGTGGTAGAACAAACTTCTGAGACTCTCCTGCATGCCACCCCCAGGTACAAACACAGCTTCTAGCGGTCCTCTAAGGAAGGCAAGAAAAAGACAGGCTACTTTAGAGATAGCCTGCTTAATTCCTTTTTCTGCAGTGTCTTGCAAAGTGAGCAGGCAGAGATTTTTCATCTCTGTACAATACCTAGCAAAGTGAGCAGGCAGAGATTTTTCATCTCTGTACAATACCTAGCACACATGCAAACCACTTAGCTCAAGGCACCTGAGTTTTTAATGCCTTACTGTAGTAAAGTTTAATTACTAAAGAAAATATTCTGTACATGTCACAGCAACAGGTAAATAAAAAAAAAAGACTACAGACTAAGTTTTGCACTAATCTATATCGTGGGCTGACACCCACTATTATCTTTTGTTGCAAATAAGTAGCTCAGCTGCCTTCGTCAGGACAGTTACCTGCTCATGAAAGTGGGACAATAAACGGAGAATGGACCAGAAAGCACAGTCCAACAGACAAGCTGCCTGATGTCTGACAACAGCTCCGCATAGTCAATGGGGAATTAGGTGATAAAGGATTATTCATGCCCCGAACTCAGCCCATTTAGCACAGACATCTTTTCTTGCTCTAATTTCTTTTATTGTCCTGAGTTAACTCAGCTGCTGAGAATCCACTGGCAGATTAAGGAGCTGGGCAAAATAAAGCCAGGAAAACCACAAGAAGCACCCGAGTACTCTGTGAAGCAAGGCAGCACTGGGTGTGCTGAACAGTAAGCTAGCTTTGCCTAAAACAAGACTCAAATTTAAAAACTGTTACCATGTCTGCATAGCAGCAGAACCCTCTCGAGGGAGAGGGGCCATAAGAGCTAGAATTGCTCTAGAACATTCAGTGCCATTGCGTGGCTGAGAGAGAGACGTTGCTTCTGTCGGGTACTGAAGCACCTGCTGCCGAAGAGGGTTAGCTCTTCGGGGAAGAACGGAGCAGCTTTTAAGACCCAGCTAGGATTTTACAGCAACAGGCAAAATCTGCACTGCTTTTACTACACTGATACACCATAACAGTACAGCCCCCTTATACTGCAGTTAAAACTCACAGAAGAAACAGTTGCAGCAGTTTAAGACTTACTGCCCAGGTGCTTGCTCTCTTCCCAGAGTTTACTGCTCCTGTGGCTGGACCATCTGAACGGGTTACGTCAGTGCATCTCATCTGCTTTGGGGCAGCTGGTTTGCACAGCTTTCAGCAGGCAATTTGAGCCAAGGAGCACTAAAGCAGATGGGATATCTACACAATCCCTTTTTCTAACAGAGCACTTGGGGCTAGAGCACCTTGAAATATCACATTCATTTTCTGTAATAAATTGCCTGATGAAGATGCAGTTTAGAGCATTACAACCTGCTGCTGCTCAGCAGTGCTCCCCTACGAGGGGCTGCCTTCTCAGCTGCCAGGTGGGGTGAACTGCAAGTTCCTCAATTCCCCTCAGGCAAAATGTTAGTTAAAATAGATCAGTCCTCTTACTGAAACCATCAGCCAGCCGATTTAGTCTGGAGAAAATCAGAGCTTACTCAAAGCACTGGAGTGCTTTGGGAGAAAAGGAAAGTAGTAACATGTAACATGAAAGTAGTAACAGTCGCTTATCTGTTTGCAAGGTGAGCATCCACCCATAGCCTGGTGCAGAGCCAGCAATCCTGGCCTCTCTGCAGGTGTACTGGTAACTACCCTGCTCTAGATCCAGCTGGCTTGCCTGAAAACCACCAGTCCCAGCTGCCCAGCATTACTTCTCATCAAAAGCCAGCATCTCCCTGACCCAACAGCAGTCAACTCGAGCAATCACTAGTGTGCTTCAAGCAAGGATGGATTGTCCTGAGCAATTAAAACCACCGGACTTCACTGATGATCTTGCAGCAGCAGGACCCTACAGCCTCTTGTATTACCACAGCTGGACCTCAAAAGGAAGTCCTCTGTCTGCTAATCACGTACCTAGCCAAAACATCCACATGGACCAGGTCTTCCTGTATTACCAAAACATGTTTAGCTTATGATTCTTATTTAGATCATAAAGTTTCCCTTAATGCAAGTGAAAGAGACAAACTATTCTAATACATACCTCATGTAACTGTGACATCAGTTTTTCCAGCAACTTTTCCTTCCCTCCCCCAATAGCTTTCAGTTGACCTCTAGATTACTGTGAACAATTTTTACCATTCTTTTTCAGAAGTGATTCAGAGGAAATAACCATTGATGACATTAGTAAACTTCAAAGCTTTTATAGCTGTTCTGAGGAGCTAAGCTATCTGGCAGGAATTTCCAGAAGCCTTCTCCAATTATCATGCTGTGCATACGTTGCAAAAGAAACATATCTTCCGGCTAGCGAACGACTGGATGATTCCAGGGACACACACCCACATTCCTCTCAACTGCAGCAAGTCCAGGCTGAACATTACTTGGCTGCTAGTGCAATTTGTTTGGAACAGTATTATCTTCTCACTCCCTCATCTCTTTCACAATTATCACTGAAGTAGGAAGCACTATCATCATCCAGTTTCCCCGTCTGGGGATGATGAGCCAGTCAAAATGCATTTCTAGAAAACAGCAAGAGAAGTTAGCTCCAGCTAACTAAACATCTGGCGAAATGCTACGTTCTCCATCATGGGGGCACTGCTGTTGTATGCTATCGAAAACAGGCGATGGCAATGTTTGTAGGTAGAGGGGGAAAAAAGAGAGACAAGTTTTTGAGATCCTTTAGATCCGAGGTAGAAGCAACAAACTTCAAAGCTAAACACAAGTTTACAACAATTTCTCTGAGCTTAAAAATTGTCCTCAAGTTGCATTTAGCTTAGAAGTTTGTTGCTTCCATTTCAAAAGCTGTGTGTCTACAAGCTTCTCTATTGTGTCCCTCCCACGCCCAAAAAAACCCCACACTTACCATAATTAGTGGGAATAGGTAATCTTGCCTCTAACTACACCTCATCGTGCTTGTGGTCTGCACACTACCCTTAATCTCTTGCTCTTTTCTGATGAAGCAATCAGGAAGAAAACACAGAGTTTCTCCAAATGTGTTTATAACAATTATTGAAAGACAGTCTGCATTAAGCATTCATCTTGATACGCTGTAAACACCACAACTATTTAAAAAAGATTAGGTTTTTGCTCTCTACAGTAAAAGGTATATAATTTTTTAGAAGTACAAGTGTCTTGCAACGCAGCCTGAAGAGCACTTTTGCTGCAATCCTTTACTGAAAAACTATGCAACTTCCTACAGTAATGCTTTGTGGGAAGTTCTAATTACTGCATTTGCAGTTACAGGCAAGGGACTAGTTTTATTCTTCTTTGCTACAATGAGAACTTTCAAGGTGACTTCAGGTCAACACTTCTGACTTACTCAGAATCTTCTACTGCAAAACAAAAAAAAGTCATACTACAAGTTTTCTTCCATTTCATATAATTTTGAAAGTAACAAACTAAACACAAGAATTCCCACTTACTGTAAAGTGGCTTTTCCTGACTTGACTTGCATCACTTTGAACTACACATACCGAAAAAGAATATGCTTATTGCACATTAAGATGGCCCAGACAGTAAACAACAGAGCTTACTGTGCTCCCCAAAGTCTCCAAACTGAGCCCTAGCATTTTAACCCTTATCTATACAAGCTAATTAGGCATTAATTTTGTGCAAAGCTGCTTTCGTTCAACTTCCAATATTTTGTTTCTACATGTTGCAAGGAAAGCTGCCTTTATGGTAATAGACCTTTTCCCCTTCCTGTAAGGGGTGATTTAATTCTAGATCAGGACGTATACAACTGCATTGCTCTAATCTTAATTTTCAAAAGATTCTCATGCTCATTAGCTCACTAGACTTAGGCTTGTTCTTTTAAGCAAATTGCCGCCCCCCCCCCTTTTTTTTTTTTAAGAACAAGCAGAAGTTGCAAAACATTTCCCTCTAGTGTTATCACAGGGCAGTTTGTGAACTTCCTTTTGCTTCCCAGTTGCATAGAGGTGGCCTAAAGTTGCATTTTACTTCAGTCATTTACTTAAGGGAAATCTTGAAAGCTTTTTTGCTTCTTTTTAAATTCTAGAAGCTACAGAAGTTAGCAGTCCAGCTCTCCCATTCTCATATAGTGAACCTCTGCCCAATATCTTATCAATATATCAACTCTGACAATTCATACAAAGTTTGAGGGTACTGTTTTCATCCTATGTGCATAACACTGGAAACAAACTATAGCTATAAATCCTTCCTCTAAATCTAAATGAAAAATTATTGGAAGAACTGTTGAAGCATCAATTTTATGCTGGGGAAAAAATGAGGGAGGAGTATACTTGAAAGTGTCAGATTTATCTAAAGAAAATCCTCTTCTCTTTTCCTGAAAGTAACATTCATCCATGCACTTGGGAAAATAAAACAAACAAACAACAAAAAACCAAACAACACACACACCCCCAAACAAAAACCAAAACAGCAACAAACCAAACAAAAAAACCACCAAACCCAAAAATCTAGCAATGCTGCAAGGCATCTTGTAGTTATGAGGTTACCCGAAAAAAGAAAAGAGATGGTCTGAAAGCTGAAGGAGTACACCTCTGAGCAGGCATCAGTCTCCAGGCTACTTGAACTCGGTATTTCATTCGGTCCAATGTGTTTGAAATTAAGGGTACAGTCCCATAACAATTTACAAATCAGCCCTAGCCCCTCTTCCCTCCATTGCACCAGCCTGAAGCTTGTCTGACCCCTCAGAAAAATACATCTCTGGTAAACAAAGAAAACACTTCCTCAGCTGGGACAGTTTTCTGCCAATCTACTGGTCTGACAGAGCTCACCAAAGGTTCAGGTCAGCAGAACTGCAATATCTGAGAGTCACTTAGGCTGCCGTAAGACTGTACCTACAGCAACCATTTACATTCTTCTTTGTTTGATTTTTAATATTGGCCTTCTTTGCAACATGAACCAGTAACTGCTCCACATAATTCATCATCTTCTCTGGAGTCAGATAGACAGCAATGCTTAAATATGCTAAGTGCATAGGGCTTTTTATTATTTTACCATTTTCTCTGCAGATTAAGCTCTTCAGAGCACAACCAGCAAAGAAAAGCAGTAGCAATCCCATGTCCTGAGGAGTAAACATATAGTATCACCTTCTTTCCTCAATAGCTTCTGGCTGTCCATAGTGGTTTTTACCTTAACCAATTTGACTATTTGTACTTTTCAACCATTAATGCTAGATTTTCCATAACTTTTGCTGTCCACAGTAGTTCATTGCTCTACATGGCTCCTGTGTGGCAGGATAATTTCTCTCTAACCTAGAAACAGAGTTCATAAGTCTGCAAGGGTAGACTGGAATTCCTTGAGGCACCAGTCTCGCTTTCCTCCACTTGCACAGCCCTGGCAGCAGAGATTTCGCGAAAGCACTAATGACAGATGTTCAAGATCGTTTGCTAAACGGATGCCAATACTGAAGCTTCAGTATTACACAGCAATGCTTAGCTATTTGACAGGAGCCCAGAACAAGCAGTATGCGTTCTAGCATCATCAGCACACCCACAAAGTGCCTCGAGAAGCAAGTTTTCCTTTGGCCCCTGTATAAGAAATGTTTGATTTGCAAGGAACTGATAATGCCCAGTGATCACAACAGAGGCACAGATTGTCCAAGGACAGATCCCCAGGAGAGGCTGCGTGTTACACAGATGTCATTCCCTACGACCAGCTCTTCCTTGGAACTAACCTCTCCCAGCTTGCCACTTCCTTCCCGCCCCATCACCCCCTGATCTTCATTGTCCCCTTCCACTGACCCAGCTCCAGCTGCCAAAACTTCTTCTGCACATTGACACCAGCATATAGATGTGTAGTGCAAGCTATGCAGTTGAGCAGACTTTATTAACAGACTGCTTTATGCCTTGACTTGGACTTCATTAGGCCTTACCCTAAGTAGGTGGAAGCTGTTAAAACAGAAAAAACAGCACATGAGATTTAAGGAAAACAACCATCTGCTCAGAAAAAAAGCGCCTTAATAGACAGCAGGCAACTTACTTGCTAGGAGAAGACAGGCAAATGAAACGATGTGCAGTTGCTTGACAGTGATATCATAGCGATCCATAAAGAGGTCCAATAGATAGACAGCGAGATGCCGGGCCGTAGGGCAGAGATTGAAACGGTTGCTGAGGACAGTCAAGAGATCAATGAAGTATCGGCGCATCCCAATCTGTGGTGAATGAGCCTTATACATAGGCAACTCAAGTTCCTAAAGTGGAAAAAAAAAAGGGGGGGGGGGGCAGAGAGAGATACTGAAACAAATACCATTTCAGTGTCTGGAATCCCAAACCAACACCCACCACCTGCTATGGCAAAGGCCTAGCAGCTACAGCACTGTGACTGACACAGAAATCAGGGCTGGATCACTGCATGTTTTGACAGTCAGTTAACTTCTAATACTTAGGTCATACACTTTCCTCACAAGCATTAAACACATGGTCAAACACTAAATTACAGTTTAACCCAGGAACAGCTTGCTGTTGCTTTCTACAGAACATCAAACTTCTTGGCCATGAAAATTGTTCCTGAAGGACTCCTTTTTAATTTTCTTCCCCCAAATGGAACTGCTAAGTAAGATTTTAACAGAGTTTCATAGGCAAGAAGGGCAAGATACATCTCTCTGATATCGCCCCTTCCTCAGTTGCCCAAGTTACTACATCCTGGGCCAAACAAATGTGTAGGTCTTTAAAGTAAAGAACGTTTATCAAAACATTACAAAAAAATTCACATGGTGCATGGCTGCAGCAAGAAACAAAAGTAGACAATAACAAGAAAAACAACATTGGAGAATGATTAAACTTTTCTAACTATAACAAATTCCAGTATTTTCTGTACTAACTTACTTCAGCATTATAAAAGCTAACTATTGAACTGACAGACTGTATTTCACATGTAATATATAAATTTTCATTTTAAAGGCAGAATTATACAAGTTTTTGGTCTACTTATGCTAGATCTTCACCTGCAAGTGTTTTTACACACAAGTTTGTAGTCACTATGCAAAGAGTAGGTTAAGGGAAGCAGTGAAGTTCCTTGGGAATAACTACCAACTAATGCCACTTAAAAGTTAACACTTTATCATTTCAGACATGGTTGTATACTAATGCAGTTACCATGGCCAGACTCAAACCAAAATGGGCTGAATAGATTTGATAGGCGTGGATTAAAAAAAACCCAAACACAACAAAAAAACACACCCAAAAACATTTCGGCAAGGTGTATCTCAGAAAATCAGATTCTGCTTATACATCTTTTTTGTATTGCATATATTTGAAAAGAAGTTAGAAGCAGTAAAGTGCTGCAAGATAGACGTGTTTTGTAGCAGAATACGAAGCGGTACATAGAGCAGTTAATTCCACCAAGTAGATCAGGACTTTAAAAAAAAGCATTCAGAGGAAGCATCTGCACCGGCTACCCCCTTTACAGAGGCAAGAGGCACCCCCTTGCGCAGCCGGCGCGGCGGCTGCCCACGCTCCTTTCGCCCCCTGGAAGGAGACGTTCTGCGAGGAGGTTCAGCTTGCCAGGAAAAAAATAGCTACGCAGTCGGGCTCGGAGGGGCACACACAACTGGAAACCAGGGAGGCTCCAGAACGAGAAGCAGCTTACAGAGACGGCAAGCTGAGCACTGTTACGGATGATTGCTTCCCAGGCCTTTTTAAAGAAAGCCAGTGAGAAAACACATTCCGGACTGAACAGACACATGCTGTGGACAGGCAAACAGCCCTTTGAAGCCTGGGACAGCCTTCACTGGGGGATGACAAAGAAATCGCCCACCAGTAACAATTTATAAAGCAGGGAGACAATGGAACATGTTCCTCCCATTGTTTTATACCTAGAAAACCCCCATAAATTTCATTTTTCAACTGCCTTATGTACAGAGATTTTAATCTGTCGGTACACAGGTTCAGAGCAGGAGTTTCTAGTATACCCATAACATCAATGTTCTGGCAGAAATGGTTTCAAGCTCAGTGGTTATATTGGTTAAAATACCTGGTTTTTTTGTTTTTTTTTTTTTTTAATATGTCTATACAAAGCCACAGATATCATAAGATCGGGTGACAATTCTACCTCTGAAATATTTTATTCTTCTAGGTGACTGGTAGGAGCTTCACATTTTATTTTTTGAAACGTCCTTCCTGTTTCAACAGCTATGTCTCCCAGCAAAATTATACTCCCTATATACTCTGAGGTCAGCATATATATTTGATGTGAAATTTGCTTCTTAGACCATAACAAATGCAAGAAATAAACAGTAACTCCAGTTACACATCTAGTCAAAAAATCTGACATGTCTAAACGTTACAGTTCAGTGGATGAGCGTTAGAGGCTCACAACGAAAGCAGAGATCCAGAGACACGTCTGAACCTCAGATGCTCCGAGGCCAGAACTACCCCTGCTCAGCCCGCTGCGCCAGAAAATTCACAGACCAGCCAAAGCACTGAATTTAAGCCAATAGGATTATTCTGCTACTGGTTTAACACAGACATTTACTCCCTGTAAGGCATCTGGGGTTTAATTTAATTTTTTTTTAATTATTTTTTTGAAAATCGGTTACGAGGAAAGGGCGTAAGTGAAAGGCATTCTCATTTTGAGCGTGGGCCTCCGTGCAGCACGACTTTACAGCCCAGGCAAGGTTCAGCTTCAGGACGGAGGCTGGGAGGAGCAGGGCGCCGCGGCTGCTCACCAGACCCAGTTCCCTCCTAGGCATTAACTGGGCCAGGGTAATTATCCGTGCGTGGGCAAGAGCCTTGCCCTGCACCACGTAGCATGAAGCAGCTAGTAAGTAGTTCAAAGGACTGCTTTTACACTGACAGATCAGTCTTAAATGATGAGATTTTCTTTTAAAGGAAAGTGAGTGATACGTAGTTTAACAACGCATGGGCTGAAGAGCAGGCTTACAGTTATCAACACGGCTGTGGGTATGCACCCCTTTCCACCAACCCCCCCCCAGAGTTCTTTAGCATAAGTTCATCAAGAAAAAAATAAAATACTCCTTTGAATTAAAGAAATGCATTTGCTGCTTTGGGAATACTGATGCTGGATGAATACAACTCTATGGGGAAAAAAATGAACTTTTGGGGAGCAAGAATAAAATAAATCGTTTCCATTGCTTAATTTTTTCCTCTATCTCCAGTAAAGCAACAGAGAAGAAACTGGGAGTCCTGCTGTCTGCTGGAATTGCCCTTTCACATGCTGCTTCTGCTTATCTTTGACCTGTTCATTCGTATCTACTTCAACAACTGCTTTGGGCTACTGAGCAATTGCCACAGTGAAATGCTAAAAGCACATTAGAGGCTCACAGGTGCCTCGGTACTTAACAAGCTTTGCTCAACGTATTGATCGATGTGTCTCCACAGAAAGCCTCCAGAAAGGCAAAGCACAGCATTTAAAAGGATCACCACTTAATCTCAAAACCTGAAAAGTAAGGCTTGGACTGAGAGCCAATCTTAAGGGTGAAGACAATTTTTAAGCCCCCACCTCCTACCAGCTTCAAGACCTGACCTTCTAAAAGAGGGGAATCAGTGTAAACATTTTTAAGTGGTGTTAAAGAAGACAAATCTTCCTCAGCAATCCCGTCTGAAAGACAGCCAGGCTCCAGACATTAGCCACACATTCACTGCCGAGACACAGCTGGTCACCAGTAAGCTGACCACTTCGGCTGGCACCATTCATTACCCGAGCTCAGGAGACAAGATTTCATCTGTGGTTCCCATGGTTTTGTAGCTGGGCTGGGCAAATGCATTTCAGAACCCATCCCTAAAGGAGATACTAGGGAAACAAGACTTAAACTAAAGCTTTGGAGCACCCACATGAAGGTTAGGCTTTCACTGCCCATTTGAACTAAATCAGCCAAACAGCGATTGGAGAGGAAGAAATCCTGACAGAATCACTTCCTCCGGCTCCCTCGAAGCAGCAGCTGGTGCAGGCCAGTCTGCCCAGCATTTATCTTCATCAGAGTACCACATCCGATGGTTTGCTGTTCAACATGGCAAGAAATTCCACACACACGTCCTTTCTGTCCAAGTTCTTTTCGGTAAAACTGTTCTCCCGCTGATATAAAGCCAGTAATGAACTGACAAGCAGTCAGGAGAAAAAAAAAGCAGTAGAAAAGTTAGCTAGTGATGTGACATTACGGTAATAAGTCACTAATAATGATCAGTTCTCGGAACAAAAGTGGAATTCATCAAGGTATTTTAGAACAACTCACAGGCTTTTTGACAAGGCAAAAGAAATGCTGTAGCAAATGCGCCTCGGGTTCTGAAATTCAGGGAGATGTTAAGTGAATCTGGTTTTCTACCATGTCCAAGCACTTGGACTTCAGTCGGGATCTGTTCTGTCCCACAGATGAAACATGCAACTTCTCCTGACTCCTGCAACAGCTCCGGTGTTTCCTACTGCCCTCCTCCCCCTCTCGGCACCAGCCATCTCAGCTGCAGGACACCCAGCTGCTGCAGACAGGCGTCCCCAGAGCACTGCATCCTCGATGGAGAGCCAGGTGAATTACCTCCTCATTTCTGCAGCAAAACGAAACACCGAAACCCGAGCTGCTCGGCAACAGTAAAGCCCATTCATCTAGAAACAGCTCTTTCAATACTGGCCTACACAGATGCAGGCTCCATTTACCTCTGTAAACTTCGTGCTTCTCTCATTATTATACTTCTTTAATCTCATTAATGTCTACCTCCGTTTCTGGATATGTAAACAGAATCCAGCGCACGGCCCCTGCTACCACAGCCCACAGATCTTGACCGCTGATCCTAACCCAAAATCTGAAAACAGGTTCCAGCTGATGAACAAAATCACCCAGTGAAGTTACGTAACTAAAGTTTCAACAGGATCTCTCTGATTCTTCTTAATCCTGTGTTAAAGTATATAACCCAAGTGTCTATATAAAGGCATTCAAATTTAAAATAAATTTTAAAAAAATAAAGATAGAAAAGGAAAAAGGCTACTAAGTATTTAAGTTAGAAAACTAGTGAAAACCATAGTAACTCTAGCAATCATTTAGCTCTCTGTATGTTGCGTGTTCTGGAAAGATAGCAGGTAGGTGACCTCCACCAGATTCTTAAGAATTCCTGTTGTAAGAATAACAGATACTGCAACTTTGTTGCCATTAGAACAGGAAAAAGAAATGATTGTAGATGAAAAATAAAGGGAAAGCTTATCTAGCGGGCTATTAGCAGTTGTTCTTTGGAAGAGGCAAACTCC